ATGGCCCATTGTTGCTCCAGAAAATGTCTATTATTAGCATTCATATATTAAACTTGTATATCTGCCCACTGAACAAGGTTTTTTGTAGCCAAGTTCTTCTAATGATGCCTTCTCTTTGTTTATTAACAACACTTGAGAGCTATGTGCAATCTTATTTATTATTTATTTATGTTTGAGGTTCCAATAATTGTGCGCTCATAGAGAAAAGTCTTAAAGGTTCTTCAGCTTCTCCATTTGGGGTCCATGCTGTACCACAGGATCAGAGAGGGTTAGTGCTATATACTATTGTGTTATATACTATATTAGATTTATAGCTCTCCAATCATTTGCTTCAGCCATTTCCAAATTATTTGTCATATTTCCTGCTTATGTGCTTTGATCAGTTATGTGTTTTCTACTAAAGTAAAACATTAGATTGGTGATCAATTAGAAGAATTTCCTTTGTTCATAAGCATAGAGTGCACCATGGCTGGGGAAGAGTGCAGTGAGGCAGAATATGACCATCCACATCACAACTTTTTCCATAAATTACTCATGAGTGTATAAACAAATGTGGAGGCATGTAAATTTTTAATCACAGGGCCATATGGATGGCCTCAGATGGTATACACTAAGGAGTTCTGACACAGTGAAAGTCAGTCCACAGCTTGTATAATCCGACATCTCCTCTTCACAGGAAGCCGACTGAGGGCCTGAATGACTACCAGACTGTCTTGCCAGAGGACAATGCTGGGGATCATCAGTTTAAATACTACAGTTTAAATATTATTTATATGCTTCATCCATCCATCCATCCATCCATCTATCTCTCAACTGATTGATGACCAAAAGCACATCAGTGCTTGACATGAGCTAATAATATTAAAGTGTTAATAATATCCTACCAAAGACCCCTCATTATGCCTTAAATGGTATTTGAATGACTCTGTATCTGTGCAGCCTGTTATAAGTGAGTATCTTTTTCTAACCTTTTCTTGGTATCTTCAGATAACTCAAGCAGAAGCAGGTCATTACCCAGACAGCACATCTCTTTAACACTCCTCAGTTGGCATGGGATCTCTTGTGCCAAAATTAAACCCCATGTCATGCCCACCCTCGCCTCCTCCTCTTTCCCCGCCATGGGAACGTTACATGTTTAATGACGAGTGAGATCTCTCCTCTCTCCCCATGCCACAAAAGCCCTGACATCTGTCTTTCCAAGAGCCGCACTCCAAAAGCTGCACATTTGTTCCTATCTTCTCCTTCTTCTAAAGAAATCAAAAATAAAAGAAGAGAGGCGGAAGAGGGGAGGGGTGGTTAAAGAGGGAGGGATGCAGGGGTTAAAACAAAAGGCCTTTTTGTCTCTCTCCGAGTGTTAATTCCTCTATAAAGCATTCCGAAAAATTTAAAGTAGGTGTTAAAGAGGCCCTTCCCTTCTCTGCTGCAGTGCTTATTGTACAGCTCATCTGCCCACAGAAAGCAACATCTTTACATTAAAAAAGGGAAATTGAGAAAGTAAGCCATATTCTGGCTATGACTATGGAAAAACAGTCACATAAATCTCTACAGGTTCAATTTAGACTTTATTCAGACATGGTATAATTAATATATTGATAGTATGAATATTAGAGTGAATATGAATAGTTTACAATAGCTCCATAGATGTAGTCGCATCATAGGCTGATAGATAAATAATCAGCAACCATGAAGTATTGAAGTGTTTAATGCCATTATGGATTAAAAATTTAGGTTATGAAATGTAACATTAAAATTTTAGGATAATCCTACAGAGATAAAGCTGCTCAAAACAAACAAAATCAAACAAACAACAAGAAGTCACCAAAAAACAAATACAAATTATACCACAGGTGCAACAATAATGTAAAATTACAGCTTGTGTAATAGCTAGAACACTGAAAACCAACAGTGAAATCAAGTACAGGAAATCCTGGTTGTTTAAAAAAAATGCAATGTTAATTAAAAAAAGTGAAGCAGAACCTCACTTCCTTACAGAATGGTCGTAATTAAATCAAATATGGGAGGAAGCCTTTATAAAATAATTAGCATTCCATAAACTGAATTGAACCACCTCACAAATTCAGAGAAATGACTGTATCTGGTAGGAGTTACAGTAGGAGTGCAGTATAATGGCAGACACACATCTATATCTACCTACCTACCTTTACAGCTCAGCACAATAGCTTGCATACCCTTTGTACAAAATAAAGAAGACATTATTTGAACCAACACCACATTAGTGGGTTAAATTTAAAAGATTTTTCTATTATTATTATTATTATTATTATTAAGGCGCTTAGTGTTTAGCACGTTCACCTCACACCTCCAGGGTCCGGGGTTCAATTCCGTCCGAGGCCGTGTGTGTGCGGAGTTTGCATGTACTCCCCGTGCTGCGGGGGTTTCCTCCGGGTACTCCGGTTTCCTCCCCCAGTCCAAAGACATGCATGGTAGGATGATTGGAATGGGTGTGTGAATGTGTATGTGATTGTGCCCTGCGATGGACTGGCACCCTGTCCAGGGTGTACTCCGCCTTGTGCCCGATGCTTCCTGGGATAGGCTCCAGGTTCCCCCGCGACCCTGAAGAAGGAGTAAGCGGTAGAAGATGGATTCTTATTGTTGGATTATTATTATTATTACTGTAAGCACCAAAAATGGTCAAATATGTTATGCTTAGATAATAACATGCCCTCACTGTGTCACCTCTAACAACATTCAGAGACATAGCCCTGTTTCTTCCTCTTTTATGGTCATCGTTGTTGTGTAGTTAGATGAACTCGCGGTGCCAGTATTAACAGACTCTAGGCGACAGAGGGCGCTCTACATCTCTCACGGCGTACTACCATACTAAACAGTATGGCTAGAAAAGTACGTGCCCAACCAACCAGTTATAGTACACTTGTTTGACACGTGATACTGTAGTGCGCTAGTATGAGACGCGCTCTGAAGGACGCAGTCCAACATGGCGGCCTCCTTGCTGAGCAGGAGGGGAGTTGCGCTTTTAGGCTTTTCTAGTTTAAAATCTTTTCTCCCCGTTGTTTCTGGGAATAATGTCGTGCAGTTGATAGCTGGTTACAACCCGAAACCTCTCGGGCTGAATTTAAAGGAGCCTTACATTCCGGACAGGAACAGTGAGAAGACCCCGGTGTGGCAGAAGACTGAGAAATATGAGCGCAAGCTTTTTGCACGTTATGGTTTTGCCTCCGGTGTGGATCCGGTGAAACTGTGGCCCACTGCCTCCCAGTTGGAGGAACTGATCCAGGAAGAGAAACAGTGGCACCCACCGCTTGAAGAAATGCTGAAAAACATCGCGGCGAAGGAGAAGGAGAGAGCGGATAAACGGCTGGCGAGGTAATCTAGCTGCTTGGCCAGTGATGTGTCGTTCATGAACGATTCGTTCATTTTGAACGATTCTTTAATATGACTCGTTGTTCAAACGAGCTGTCTCAGGGAGTGATTCGTTCATTTTTGACCGCGCATGCACAGCAACATTCCCATAGGTTCTGTACAGGAAACAACTGATTACTTCACCTCTCGAGTCTTCGGGTCTGAGTCGTTCTTTGTACATGTCACAGCCCCACTGCATTCAGCGTATGGGGCAGTCACGTGATGAACGAACGACTCGCACACGAAGGCTTGAGGGATGAACTACTCATTTCTGTTTCCGAGGAAAAGACGTGGCAAAAGAAAGAAGGACTCGGATCTGGAGGTTAGGTGAACTAACAGACTGCATCACCTGAAGTCCTAATGCTAAACTGTTAATTAATCATTTGTTTCTCATAATTTGGCCTTGGCTACATTATCCTATAGATTTTTTAATAGTTTATAAAGTACTAGATGTGTTGCGGAATTTAACATGAAACATTTTAATTATATTCTGCCGAAATGACTCGGAAAAAGATTCGTTCATTTTGCTGAACGAGATTCAAAGATCCGAGTCAGTAAAGTGATCCGAACTTCCCATCACTAGTGGAAACCGTGTTGCGCGTGTATACTGGGATTTACGGCTGCATGGCCACACGGTGTGTCCTCCATGCTGTTGCTCTTGGTTAATTAACGTTAGCTTAACTTATATAGCGGTACAAGTTTGTGGTACACATGAACATGTATGACTTTTATTTAACACAGCGGCCACATGAAATATATCAGTTAGTGTTCATAGTTTGGTGTGTTGAGTCTCAAGTCTTCATAAGTACACAGAATTCACACGTTGTTTTGTAAAAGCCATATCATCACATGGGTGTTCCAGGTGGAAATTAGAGATGCAGTTTGTGATTTTTAAAAGTCTTTCAAGGCCTATAATAATCACATGATTATTTAAAAAAATCGCTTTTGTAAAATTGTGTTTTGACTTATTTACAGACAGTGGATCTTGCTAGGGTAACTCCATCCAGAACAGAGCTGAAGGCTATTGATGAAGCAAACATACACTATGGTGTCTCATTGTGTATATTTGTCATACTTTCAGCACGATGGGTGTGTTCACCCTGGCAAACTAAAACTGTTGAAATCACCCAAAATAATTTCACTTTTAAACAAAAGGATGTAATTATAATTATTTTTTATATAATTGCCCATCTAGCTTGGTAAATTGTCCGTAGTGTATGAATGGGTGTGTGAATGTGTATGTGATTGTGCCCTGCGATGGACTGGCACCCTGTCCAGGGTGTACCCCGCCTTGTGCCCGATGCTTCCTGGGATAGGCTCCAGGTTCCCTGCGACCCTGAAGAAGGAGTAAGCGGTTGAAGATGGATGGATGGATAATTGCCCATCTATCCATGTTCCATAACGCTTATCCTTCAGGGTCACAGAAAACCTGGGGCCTATTTCAGGGAGCATAGGCACAAGGTGGGGGATACTCTGGGCAGGGCACGATCACATATACATCCATGCATACACTGTGGACACTTTGGACATACCAACCTATCATGCATGTCTTTGGACTGGGGAGGAAACCGGAGTACCTAGAGGAAACCCTTGCAGCACGGGGAGAACATGGAAACTCCATACACAGAGGAGTATTGAACCCCCAACCTTGGCGGTGTGAGGCGAATGTGCTAACCCACTAAGCCACTGTACCCCACTGTACGCACAGAATAGGTTCAAGGTTGTTGAGCTGTATTGGCTGCTATGTAAGAAATAAAACATGACAGGATGTGCTGATAAACTTGCACATACTGCACACTCTGACTGTCTATCTCTCTCTTGGGACAATCCACACAATTAACCTGCACACACCTGAAACATGCTGCACCGTACCTACTGCTGTGTGCTGTTGTCCCTTAATGCATCTTATGTCTTATATTGTATTACACACACCTCCAGAATCATATCTCCTGGTACATGACTATCTGTACATCATTACCACAACTCACCATGAACTCCTACACTCCAGTTCCTCTGTGCACATATAGGTCTTTTCTATGCTTGCATAGTTTTCTGTGTAGTAGCCTTTCCAGGGCAAGGCCCCCCAAATGGCATTAACATTTGACTGAGGTCCCCCTTTGGCAAAATGTCTTTAAAACACATTAAAAATATAGACTTCTGAATATACCCCCCCCTTTTATTATTAATAATTACATCTTACACCACATTAGGAATTGATTCTCTCTCTCTCTCTCTCTCTCTCTCTGTGTGTGTGGTTGTCTGAGAACGAAAAAGAGAAAACATACTAGTGGGAGGAATGGGCACACCAAAATGTTGAGGCCCCCTGGGTACCCCCTGGCGGCCCACACTTTGAAAACCACTGGTCTATGTACAATATATTGTGTGTGTGTGTGTGGTTGTTGTCATTGTTTGTAACACAGCTCTGTAAATTGCAACTAAGCATATCACTACATTGATTACATTGTGTATAGACTTGTATTTGACAAATAAAACTTAAAACTGTAGTAGGCTAATAATGCATAATGGGGTGGTGTGATATGGCCTGACATGAAGTTGAGGGTTTTTTTTCCTCTTCTACCTCAGTGATTTGCCAAGAATTACAATGTTTTATGTATTGCTCAATAGTGCATCATGGTTTTAATAATTTCTAGTTACATTTAATGTTCATTAAAGCAACAAACAGTTGTTCCCTCACCAAGCTCTCTTTTTCTTTCTTGAAGTAAAAACAAAACACCACAATGACTGTTTACATGGACAGCAATAATCTAATTATTGACCTTATTCTGAATAAGACAATGTGATTTAGGTGTTTACATGAGTCGCTTTTAGAATATCCCTTTCATGTTCCCGTTTTTACATTATAGTACATAGATCGATTAACGGCACACGTCATTACATCACCGCGTCACACCCTCCAACGCTCCCGCCAGAATTTCACGTAAGCAACATACAACTCGTCCAAAACCACATATTTGCATGTATTTCCCCAACTATATACGTATACATACGTAAGTATGCGGTTTTCCGACACAACCGTGCTCTCGTTTGCCATCAAACGTTGAGCACTGCCGTGTGTATGTCCTGGCGCAAAATGCGTTGAAAACTCTCGCACAACGTTAGTATGATTATAGTGTGTACATGTCTATAATGCGACTAAAACAGGAATACTCCACGTCTTAATTTGATTTGTGTTTACTTCGAGTATGACTTTAGCCGGATTAAGGTAATCAATAATCACTATTTACATGGGTTCTTAATCAGAGTATTGTCTTAATCGGGTTAATATCGGAATATTGTTGTCCATGTAAATGTACTGATTGTCATAGTATTGAGAAACCAGAAAACTTTCTTGTGGCAGAAAACGTCCTGACTTTAACGAAGCACTGACATCCATCTCCTTACAAAAAGCTTCATCTCGCCTGGCCTCCATACAAGTCCCTGTGAATTAGTTGTTGCTATAGAAATGATAACTTAATAAAACAAGTGCATTAATATAAACCTGTGATTGTATTACAGCTGGCACTACTGTCATAGACATGCTGCTATAGAAAATTCAACACCTAACCATTGAGAATTCAGCAGCAGTGTGGTATAAGTAATTTCTTATAAGGTGCCATGCAGGCATTATTACTTTTAGTCATAGAGTCTACGTACTAAGCTTATTAGATGGTTGGTTGGTTAATATTGAGCACTAAACAAATCCGTGGGATGTGGTAAGCTATATTTTGACTTTTTTTTTTTGCTTATGATGAAAAAATAACTAAGGCTATGACAATACAAACTAATATTAAATCCCACCTGGATTTTTCCCCAGTGACTTTTTGGTTATGTTAGCCTTGTGGCAATGCAAACCTAAGTAAATCAAGTTGTAATAAAAAAAAAAAGCAGTTAAAGGAATAATAATATTTTGTGCTAATGATGGGTTTTATTTCTTGTGCTAAACTTAACTTTTAAGCACTTAATGATGAATAGTCAGTCTCCGTTGTGGCTTTGGGTCTCATTGTTCATGTGTTGTTTGTTTATCCTTCCTACAGAGAGAAGTTGATTGCTGCAAACATGGCTAAAATGCCCAAGATGATAGCAGACTGGAGAAAGGAGAAGCAGGACGCAAAGAGAAAGCTGAAGGAGGAAAAGGCCAAAAAGGAGCGGCTGCTGGCTGAGGCCCGGGAGCGTTTTGGCTACGCGCTGGACCCGCGCAGTCCCAAGTTCCAGGAGATGCTTGCAGAGATTGAAAAGGAGGAAAAGAAGAAGAGGAAGCTCCTGAAACGTCGAAAGAGAGAAGAGGAACAGGGGCTGACTCCTTCTGCACCTGCTGCTGAAGCCTCATAGAGACTCTGGCTGAGTGAATACACAGACTGTTGTATATACTGATGATATAGTAACATGTTTGACCATCGTTATACGTTTTGGAAAAATCGTCATGTTCCCCCCCACCCCACATCATTAAAATGTGAAGCCTGATTTTTATTTGCAGTAAGGTGCATTTACAGTGTTGCTTCGAGCCTTTGATGGAATAATCCAGATTAAATTGTGCCATCTGTTTGTTTACAGCTGACCAATCAAAGCTCTGTTTTAAACTCGCACCCAGTTCCAGTGCACAGTGTAGGCCTGTCCTCTCTCTCACATACTACTCATTAATACTTTCTCATCCTCCTTTCTTTTACATCTCTCTCACATTATAATGCTTTTCTTCTAATGATTTTTCTGTCTTTCCTTTCTCACATTGTCCTTTTCTTTCGCTTTGCTTTTTCCTTTCATTTTTTTTATTGTTCCTCTTACTCACTTTCTATCTTCTCCTTTCCTCAATCTCATTATACAAGTCTTTTTCCTTGTCTTAATTATTATTCTTTCTTTTATCCCTCAATCACTCTCAGCAGCTTTCGATCACTGTGTATTTTTACATCAGAAAACGCAAATCATGTTCCAAGCCACATTGTGTATGATTCAGCCAGTGTCCCAGTGACTGAAACTAGTGTATTTACATAGTGACTGCTGTAATTGCTAAAAACATAAAAGTAACTGCTGTAAACATTTAAACAGACAACACCTACAGTCCATAAAAAACAAAAGGCATAAAAATGACCAATGGAAATCTAGCCGTAATATATAAAACTGCCTTCAGGTATGATTTACTGAGTACCCCAAATTGCTAAGATTTATTTTTAAATCAATGCCATATTAAAGAAAAAAACTAAAATTTATATGACAAAAAAAATAAATACAGAAGTATGAAGGAGCACAAAAACTACAATGGCCCAAAAGTCTCCAAACATAAGGGAAATGGTTTTTAAAAAATATCATTTTTATACCTGAAGAGTTTTTTCAGATAGGCTTGAAGAATGTATTGAAAGTATACTCATGGCTGGATGAGGAAGCTGCCACAAGGTTGTGTTGGACTTAAACAGGAAACATGGCAAACACATCACACATGATACTGTTTTCCAAACTTATTAACAAATTCAAAAAGACTGGAAATGTTGCAGACCAAACGAGAAGTAGATGTCCACCAACATCCACCCATGAAGGCATACACAAAACCCCATGTATGGAGACTTCTGGAACACCATGTATTATAATTTTTTTAAAATCTCATTAGTTATGAAAAGTTTGTCATATTTCTCAAAGAAGATTAAGTTTTACATATATGTTAATTGAGTGGAAGTCAAAATGGGTCACCGACAAAGCATTATAGTGATTATAATGCATAAAACAGAACCATACAAATTAAGTGGTACAGATTAAGCATACAAATCAAATTATCAGGTGTTCATTGTTAATAGGTGGCCATTTTCAGTTCACACGTCAGTACTGGAATGAACTGCATATGCAAAAAAGTGTATATTAATTTTTGATAACTGATGATATAAAAAGCAGGTCTTGGACATCATAATATTTATTTTCTGAAGCTGATGCTGCTTTCAAAAAGTGGCTCCACAAAATGTTGGTGCAACACTCAGTTTTACAACATATACTTTCATCTTAAACTCTGAGAAGACCTATCTTAGAAATGTGTAGCCACTGCATCTTGGCTTTTACACAGAAATCCATAAAAAATAGCTGTGTAACTTGACTTTGAGACCAAATTTAGTCCTTCCTGGAATATACTGATCACCTTTTAGTCGAGAACAGTCATACTCTATATTTAGTTGTGATCCTTTAATTAGTATATCTTTAACTTTGTGTTTTTGTACCTGAAGAATAACTACTTCATCTCCTTTCCTAGAGAAAAACTCCACCTTTCAATGCTTTCATAGTGTACCACAGATGGCATACCTAATCATCTTTAACAAATCAACAAGAATGGGGAAATCCTGAGAAATATTTCCTTCCCAAAAGTGCTGCTGTAGCTCAAGGTAGTTTTATTACTATATAATACTCTTTTGATGTGGAAATATTTGGAAATCTTACCCACAAATAAACTGTCTATTACTTACATCCAAGCTATTATCCTCAAATACACATATCATGTAAATTGGCTACGAATTAAGTGTTTTAAGTGTCCCTAAGATGTCCACAAGACTGTGTGAGTTGGGTCCTTTATATTTAACCTTCCACTGGATGGAATTAGAGAGTGAGGATGACCGTGTCTCTTTGGTATCGTAGTTCACTAAGAGAGTCAGTCCTCAACATGCCACTTCAGCTGGTAACAGTTACAGGGCTGTGATCTCGTCCTGGTCACTCATGTCGGCCTTC